TTTTAATAAAATAAAAAATATTAAATAATATAAAACTTATTTTTTAATATTTTAAATCACTTAAATTATAATTATGTCCTTAATCTTAAATTTTAATTTATGTCCTTAATCTTAAATTTTAGTTTCATAAATTTTATCCTTTTTACCGTTATTCATACACTTTCTTGTTGACAAAGCTTTCTTTTAGTTAATTCTCTCTCGACAGTAATCAAAACTACATGTATTTCATCCGACAAAAAGAAGCTTTTTGCCCCCCAAGTGTTTTTTAATAAATTAAAATTTTGATATTTTAAATTAAAAATTTTAAATTTAAACTTTAAAGTAATAAAAACATTAAAAATTAAGAAAATAATTTTTTATTATATAATTTATTATTTAATATATTAAAAATTAAAGAAGTTCTATTTAAAAATGATTATTATTGGATCCTTTAAATCGTGGGCTTTCTGTCTTTAATAGAAAATATTAAGGTGTGCTTGATTCAACTAATTTTATCTATTTATAATTTTTTAAAGCTGTTGGTTAATGTATGAGGAACATCAATATATAAATATAATTCAAAATAAATAAATTTTGATTATTAAAAAAATAAATAATTAAAATTTTATATTTATATGTAAATAAATAAATTATTTCAAAAATTAATTTAATCACTTTGATAATTTTGACTAAGAGAAACAAATCATTATTACTTAATATTATAATCTTATAATTATGATATATAATTATATTATCGACTCTATATTAGGTTAGATAATTATCTCAAATCAACGAATTATGCTGTGAAAGACCTTTTGACATATTATTACAATTTCAAATTTGGGATTAAAACAATCAATTCAACAACCTTTTGTCAATTATATCATTGACTTTTTTTTGACTTAAGGGAGCATCTCAAACATATATTAAGAAACATTAATACATAAATTAATTTTAAATTAATATTAATTATTAATTATATTTAAATGCCAAATTTTGAACATTTTAAAAATTAGTTTAATCATTATGGCATCTCCGCTTAACAAGAGAAGCAAATCCAACATTCCTTGAAATTATAATCTTCTAATTATTATATATAATTATATGATTGACTTTATATTAGCATAAATGATCATCTCAAATCACCAAATTTTACTTTAAAAGATCTGTTGATAGATTACACTTTCAAATATGAGATTAAAATAATCAATCTACAACTTTTTGTTGATTATATAATTGATTTTTAGTGGTGTTAAAATGTTCATCTCAAATTCACAAAATCTATTATAAAAGATCTTTTTATAGATTATATGGTTGACTCTATATTTAAGTGAAGTAATTGTCATACCTTAATTTATTAATGGTGCATCTTAATTATTGTTTAGACCATTTAACCCCTTTAATTAATGACCCCTTAAAAAAATGATTTTCATTTTCGAATTCTAGCCGTATTAATTTTTGTCATTATTTATTCATTAACTCTCTTTATTATTATTATTATTATTATTATTTAATCTATTTACACTATAAATTATAATTTTTAAGTAATGTCATGAAAAAGGTGAGTTGGTGAGGTCACATCAGATTTATTGGTTGAGATTCAGATCACTTGCTGCATGAAAAATGATTTTGGAGAATTTTGATGATTATTTGGTTAGTTGTAATTTAAATTTAAAATAAATAAAAATTCTTATAATTTAGAAGGAAGTACAATTGAGGGTTTGAGGTTGCAGTAGAATGATACATGTGGTAAGATCTAAACCAGCTTTGACCTGGTCCTGTTGATGTGTCTTTTTTTTTTTTCTGGAAAAATTATCCATGTTAAGTAATAGCCAACGGCTAAAGTAGAAGGACAGTTTACAGAAAGTGTATAAAAAAAAATTTTAAAATTATTCAATATGTGATCAGTTTTATATACAATTTATCAAATTTTTAATTTTTTAGTTTCAAAGTATTGCTCTCTTTAGTTTTTAGATTTCATCTTTAACATAGTATTTTGTAGATTCTAAGTTATTTTCAATATTCAAATAGTTAAATTTTTTCATGTATTTGCTTTTACAACTGCATCTCATGTAATGATAGCAAATATTTTAATTTTCTTCAACGTATTATCTCTTTTCTGATCATTGTCTATTCTAAGTTTATGGTAAGTAGTGTTTTTCTAAAAATGATTACTTATATGGTATTTATGCTTATGTCTTGTTTTATTTCCCATGTTAGTTTAATTTTTATTCGTTCATGTTTTATGGTTAATTAGTTTTAAATTTTCAATTCTATGATAGTTTAATTTGTAAATTTGTCTATAAACATAAGTTAATCTAGCTTTAAACATGATAATTTTAATTAAGATGCATTTATCTTTTACAAGTTACTTTAATTTACATTTTATTTAATATATTTAAAATCTATTAATTTTAAATTCATAATATTAATAAAGTTTTTGGTATCATTCAAAACA